CTGATTCTCCTTTCTTACAGTCCCCACCTCCTTCACCCTGTTCCTGCTTTTCTGTCCCTGTCGGCATCATTCTTTCTTGCTGCCAAGGGCTGTTCTGCACGTGGTGAGGACAGTGGCTGCTGGCAGCTCCCGATACTCCTGTTTCATGCCAACACCACCACAGGCAGAGAGAGTTTCCTTCATCCAGACTCAGGGTAGAAACCTGGAGTGGGAAGGGAGGCTACTTTGGGACGCGTCCTTTCCTCCAGCCAACCCCATGACCTGGAGGTCAGGCGCCAGGACCGGTCCAGCTTGGGTCTTGGGCCCATGCCTGTGGCTACGGGGCCTGCCCCAATGGGCACAAGAGAAGACGTGTGTGCAGACAAAGGGACAGCCAGAGGGTGAGTGCCATCCCCTCTGCCAGACCAACTCGCCCCCCACGTCTCAGGACCATGTCTAGGAGGCCAATGCATCTGTCCCTTGCCGAGGCAGGCGTCTGTGAATCACAACTAATTGTCAAATATACTCTGATTTGGAAACCCTTCTAGACTGCACGAGTCTAGTCACCTGTTTCTCAAAGAATCCCTTATTCCTTCTGTGACGGTGCATGCTTCAAAGAAGAAGGCATATGTTACATCTTCCTTAGGTCAGGTAATTCCAATTTCTTGGTTCCTCCTTAAAATCCTGAGGCTGAGACCTCCTATTTCGACTCTCTTGGTATTTGTTTTTTTGCAGAATTTAATAGACACCTTCTTAATCTATGAAACTCAGAACATGACCCTGAACACTGACCAACCCTGCACATATTTGGAATTAGCAGTGGAATCACATTCTGCTGGGTAGAATTCCTGTTGTATGGTCTTGAAATAATCAATGTTCTCCTTTCACAGATGAGGACTATAAGATAGTTCCCTAGCAAATACGCACTGAAGACCTACTATATGCCAGTGCTTGGGATACAACAGTGGGTCTCCCCACTTTCAGAACACACGAGGGGAACCCAAAACACCTGGAATTTATTTTTAAAATTGTGCATTTGTTCTTACGTTTAAATTTCAGTCACCTTCAAAGTATTCTCTGTCTGATGCAATACACCTACCAAGAAGCTTTTTCCACTGTGCAAATGTTTTTGAACGCATCAATTTTGATGCCCTTGAGTGCTTCCGCTGTTTTTTTGTTGGAAGAGGTGTCTTCCACGTTGGCAAAACGTTTCCTCTTGAGGACTTTTTTCATCTGGGGAAACGAAAAAAGAGTTGCTCGGGCGAGATCGGGTTGAATAAGGAGGGTGAGGCATGGGGGTAATGCCAATTTTGGTCAAAAACTGCTGAATCAGGGCTAGATTTGTTCTCTACTTTTATTGACTATTCTTTTCCACACTACAAAGTAAATGGACACCAGAAGCCCTGAGCTCATCACACAGCAGCTTCGCCAGTGGAGAGAACAGAGAGCTGCTACTTCCTGTGTGCTCCAGCCTGGAAACACGCTGAGGACTGTGCAAGACTTGAGGCTGTACCCATCTCACAATCACCAGGCTAGCCTGCTGCAGTCCTGTGGATGCTGGCAGACGGCCCCGGCCTGTGCGGTCTGAGACTGGGGACTTCATTTCTCAGACACAGCAGCGGTGTGAGCGCCAGGGTCCCTGTCAGCCCCCAAGTACAGAGGCTGCCCAGTGAGCTTGTCAGCGCTGAGGCTCCTGCTCTCAGGAACTGCTGGCAAACCTGACCAAACATTTCCCCCAAGGAAGGCATCATCTCATTTACCCAAGTCCTCCGGCCCAGAGGAAAGGTGACCTCTGGCTTCCGAGGCTGCATGCTACGCAAATCTCATTGGAAAGAGTCTAGGGAAAAACGGTCACAAGCCGTGTAGAAACACCACAGAGGGACTGCCTTCCACACAAAGGCCCAGGGAAGGAGCCAAATGGGCGTGCTTTGGGTCGAGAGCCTGTCCTGGACCAAGTACCTTGTCCAAGGAGATGCGGCCAGTAGCAGCCGCCCGGCTAGTCAGTTTCCTGACCAAAGATGAGTCAAGGTTGCTTCCCAGGACATTGGAGAGGGGTGTGCTTGGCAAAGAGGAATCCCGGTTAGAATGATTTGGTATTAAGTGAAGTCACGAGGCTGAGGAGGTAAGGTGAGGCCCGATCCTGAAGAATTATGCAGGCCATGTGGAGACGTCTGGACTTTGTCCTGGGGGCTGCAGGAATTTGTCAAATATAATTTTACAACGGGGTGCTGTCGGTGTTGCCTTTGGAAAAATCCCCCCCATACAGCTTTTAGGGACTGGCAGCAGGGAGGGCCCCAGCAAATGAGCTAGGGGACAATTCTACTACTTCAGGTGGGAGGGGAAGGGTCTGCCCCAAGAGAGCGGGACAAAGAGAAGTGCCGGCTTCAACAGAAGGCCCTTGGGTGCAGCCGCGGGGAGAGAAAATGGCCTCACGAATGAGCCTGATGCTTCTGTCTGGAGAAACGGAGTGAATGGAGAGAGGAAAACCTAGAAAGGTAAGCAGGTTTTAGTGGTAAAGAAGGCAAGCTCAGTTGTGAAAATTAGGAAGAGACAGGGCCACCCAAGCCCAGGAAGGTGACTCCAAAATGGAAGCTGATTTAACGCACCTTTTCTAGGCTGTGCAATGGGCCCCGGGATGTAATAAAACAGCACAATGTAGGAAGAGGAATTTAAAAAAAAGCAACATGAAGAACTCAGGTCAAAGGTCGAGGGCTCCAGGAGAACACCTCTTCAGCCACGAGAAGGGGACTCCA